TGTGGGTATGAATGATTACAGTGTACTGTTGTTTGAATATTTGGTCGAAGAAGGGTTAATGTACTCAAGGAAGGGACTAGAAAGCAAGAGGCCGACATTCCGGAAGGGAAGCTATGAGGAGATGAGAAAATTCCTAACTGAAATAGCTTGGGAAACAGAACTCAGAGGAAAGACGGTTCAAGACATGATGGACTACATCACACAGAAGTGTAAGGAGGCAGCAGTCAAGTTTGTCCCAGTCCAAAAGGAAAAAAATGAAATGGAGATGAGAAACCCATGATTTAATCAGAATTGCAAGCTGGCAAAGCAGCTAAGTAAAAGGGCGTGGAGAAACTATAGAAACAACAGAACACTAGAGAGCAGAGAAAGATACTAGAGCACCAGGAATGAATACTTCAGGTTGAGAAGAGGTTATCTATCTTGAGGTTATCTTGATATGATTTCGGGGCTTTTTTTTTTTTTTTTAAGTGTCCCAGCGGCCCGGTCCTCGACCAGGCCTCCACCCCCAGGAAGCAGCCCGTGACAGCTGACTAACACCCAGGTACCTAATTTACTGCTAGGTAACACGGGCATTGGGTGAAAGAAACTCTGCCCATTGTTTCTCGCCGGCGCCTGGGATCGAACCCAGGACCACAGGATCACAAGTCCCGCGTGCTGTCCGCTCGGCCAACCGGCTCCCCAAAGGTAGAGAGAGGTAGAGGCGCAATATGAAAATAACATAGCGAGCAAAGCAAAGACTCAACCCAAACTGCTGCATAGCCACATCAGGAGGAAAACAACAGTGAAGGAACAGGTAATGAAACTGAGGATAAGGGCAGAAAGATTCACTACAAACGACAAGGAAGTGTGCGAGGAACTTAATAAGAAATTCAAGGAAGTCTTCACCTCCGAGCAAGGAGAAGTCCCAGAGATAAGGAAGGGAACATCAAACCAGACACCACTAGAGGAGTTTGTGATTACCAGCGGGGCGGTGAAGAAGCCTCTGCTAGATTTGGACGTGACAAAGGCTATAGGCCCGGATGGAATATCACCATGGATTCTAAAGGACAGAGCAGAAGCTCTGTGCCAACCACTCTCCATGGTGTACAAATCACTGGTAACAGGTGAACTGCCAAAAAATTGGAAGACAGTAAATGTAGTCCCAATATACAAGAAGAGTGATAGGCAGGAGGCACTGAACTTAACTTGCATTCCATGCAAGATGATGGAAAATATTGTGCGAAAAAAGCTAGTGGAACATCTGGAGCGGAAGAACTTTGTAACACAACATCAGCATGAGTTCAGAGATGGCAAATCATGCCTAACAGGATTAACTGAGTTCTATGACCAGGCAACAAAAATCAGGCGAGAGAGAGAGAGGGCTGGGCAGACTGCCTATTTCTGGACTGCCAGAAAGCTTTTGACACAGTACCACATAAGAGACTAGTGCACAAACTGGAGATGCAGGCAGGAGTGAAAGGGAAGGTACTCCACTGGATAAGAGAGTACCTAAGCAACAGGACACAGCGAGTCACCGTGAGGGGCGAGGTCTCGGAGTGGCGGGTAGTCACCAGTGGAGTCCCACAGGGATCAGTCCTTCGACCAATACTGTTTCTGATATACGTAAATGATCTCCCAGAAGGAATTGATTCGTTCCTCTCGGTGTTTGCTGATGATGCAAAAATTATGAGGAGGCTCAGGACAGAGGAGGATAGTATGAGGCTACAAGATGACCTAGACAAACTGAAGGAATGGTCTGACAAATGGCTACTAAAGTTCAACCCAAGTAAAGAAACTAGGAGGCCAGTCACTGGATAACGAATGGGAGATGAAGTCCTTCACGAAACGGACAGAGAGAAAGATCTGGGAGTTGATATCATGCCAAACCTGTCTCCCGAAGCTCACATCAAAAGAATAACATCAGCGGCCTATGCGAGGCTGGCTAACATCAGAACTGCTTTCAGAAACCTGTGTAAAGAATCCTTCAGAACCTTGTATACCACATATGTAAGGCCAATCCTGGCTTATGCAGCCCCAGCATGGAGCCCGTATCTAGTCAAGAACAAGACGAAGCTGGAAAAAGTTTTGAGGTATGCCACTAGGCTAGTCCCAGAACTAAGAGGCATCACTTATGAGGACAGACTACATGAACTGCACCTCAAGTCGCTGGAAGATAGAAGAGCTATAGGAGACATGATCACCACATACAAAATTCTCAGGGGAATTGACAGGGTGGACAAGGATGGATTATTTAACATGGGTGGCACACTCACAAGGGGACACAGATGGAAGCCGAGTACCCAAATGAGCCACAGACACATTAGAAAGAACTTTTTCAGTGTCAGAGTAGTTAGTAAATGGAATGCACTAGGAAGTGATGTGGTGGAGGCTGACTCCATACACAGTTTCAAATGTAGATATGATAGAGCCCAGTAGGCTCAGGAATCTGTACGTCAGTTGAGTGACGATTGAGAGGCAGGACCAAAGAGCCAGAGCTCAACCCCCACAAGCACAATTAGGCGAGTACAGCAGTCTAATTCTTTATTTTTTACTTTTTTTGCCTTTTTTTTTTATGTGACTTGCATTCCATCTGCCTAGAGCATGCACTAACATCAATTTTTCTTGTCATACACTATATACACAGGTTTTATATAAGTATCTGCATGTTTTGTTCACCATAATGAACCACTAAGTTTGTATTATGAGTCAAAAAGCAATGAGGAGTGACCGCCACAGACCAGCCAGCCACTCACTGCCACTCACTCCCTCAACACCTCATTCGTCCACATTCTCCTCCCACCATACTGTTTTTGCTTTTATTCACAATATGAAGATATTATATATAAATATCTACATGTTTTGTTCACCATAGCTGTACAACTAAGTTGATATAGTTAGTTCAGGCACTAAGAGACGTAGCTACACACAGTCAGCTGGCGGCTGCCTCCCCTCACACACTCAAGGTTAGACGCACTAAAATTTCACCCCCCAACAATACAGTTTGTGGTGTTATTACCCTATATACACACATTATATGTAAGTATCTACATGTTTTGTTCACCATAACTGTTCAACTAAGCCGGTATAATGCCCAAAGAGCATAGTGGCCACCTCTACCAACATGACAAATCATGCAGATGTTGCCACACCCATCACCAAAATGGCTTCTTCCCCCACACTCCTTTTGCTGTTATTACACTGTATATACACGTTATATATAAGTATCTACATTTGTGTTCACTATAACGAACCACTAAGTTGGTATGCTGAGTTGCAGTGGCAGCCAGTGGCAGCCCACCACTTCCTCCCTCCCTCACCTCACCTGATTCGTCACCATTCTCCTCCCACAATACTGTTTTTGCTTTTATTCACTATATACAGACATTATATACAAGTATCTGCATGTTTTGTTCACCATAGCAAACAACTAAGCTGGTATAGTGAGTCCAGACAGTAAAAGGTGGTCACACACAGTCAGCAGACAACGCTACCTCCCTCCCCACCAAGATTACTCCTCCCACTACAGCACTAATTATCACAACAATCCTGCTATTATCAGAATCCTGGTCATTTTTATCACAGTCAGGGGTCTTCTGTAATACTATCATCACTATATAATAGCATGAACATATATATTATAACATATTTAGGTGACGCTGCAGTCGCAAGCTGAACAGCAGTGCTGTGAGCCCATGCTGCGTGCATCAGGCTTGGTGGCTCACTTAATACTGATAGCCTCACACCCGGGAATTTGGCTCACGATATAAATAAAAAATGGCGTCTGTTTACAAGAGCCCTGATGAAGGTGAGGTGAACCCCGTGTATCTGCGGGCCATTTAAATCTTGCGTAGTACTCAAATACATCATATGATGTGATGCGCAATTTATAGCAAGTTACTCAACACATCATATGATGTGTTGCGCAGTTTAAGGGTTAACCAGGTGGAGTCTGTTTTGGGATGCCTACCTTTCTGGGTGCCTAACCCAGTAGATGGCAGAATGCTTCCAACCACACAGGGGTTTCTATAGGCCATTGCTCCTTGTGCCTCTCTGAAATAGAGGACTGATGCCACGGTCTAATATAAATAAATAAATAAATAAATAAATATTATATATAATATATATATATATATATATATATATATATATATATATATATATATATATATATATATATATATATATATATATATATATATGTCGTACCTAATAGCCAGAACGCACTTCTCAGCCTACTATTCAAGGCCGATTTGCCTAATAATCCAAGTTTTCATGAATTAATGTTTTTTCGTCTACCTAACCTACCTAACCTAACCTAACCTAGCTTTTTTTGGCTACCTAACCTAACCTTACCTATAAATATAGGTTAGGTTAGGTTAGGTAGGGTTGGTTAGGTTCGGTCATATATCTACGTTAATTTTAACTCCAATAAAAAAAAATTGACCTCATACATAGAGAAAAGGGTTGCTTTATCATTTCCTAAGAAAAAAATTATAGTATATATATTAATTCAGGAAAACTTGGCTTATTAGGCAAATCGGGCCTTGAATAGTAGGCTGAAAAGTGCGTTCTGGCTTCTAGGTACGACATATATATATATATATACTGTATATATATATATATATATATTTATTTATATATCAATATATCAATTAGCCCGGTATAGCTCCTAGGAGCCGGAGAGGATCAACAGACGTTAAACGCAAAACCCACTCAAAAATACATTTGCACATGATTAGAATTAGCCTATTTATTACTCTCTCTTGTGGAATCCCTTGTTACCCTAGGGTTTAGAAATGCTGGTCTTTACTGTATACCAGACTTGTGTAACCTGAACATTTGCCACTACCTAGGTCCCAATGATGGATTAGAGAGTTTACTAGACTTACAACTTTGCACAAGGAGATTGTGTAATAGTCACTGATTCTCTACCAAAGAAATATAATTAGAAATTGGAAACTCTGGATTTGTTCAAACAAAATGTTCAAATCAATGGTTTTGGTTGTACAGCAATATCTTACTTGCACAAATTGGCGTCCCACTGTAATGTGGCTATGTTCATGAGCATGGTACGAGAAGCATTAGTTACATCGGTTACATGCAGCCCACCATCTATGCCACCAGTTAAGTTCTGTAAAGAAAAGATCTCGTATTAAGCTCATTAAGACATTAATGTAAATGTTCCACAATATAAGCTCTCGGTATATATATAATTTAGCTAATTCTAGATTTGCATATAAATTCATGGATAGAGAATTGCTAATTAAAAAGTAGCATTGAATGTAACGAAATGTCAATTTTCTGGGTGAGTCCCGAAGGCTCCCTGAAGCTATTACACACTAAGTGCCATCAGTTGTAGAGTTCTATTGGCCTACTAAGAACCCTGAGCCAGAATGGATCACCTTCTAATGAGGTGAAGAGAGCAGTGGCACAATGATAAAATTGTCAGTGAATTTTAATGTCTGTCACCATCGGGGAAGCACCCACAAATTCAGCAAAACAAAACAGACTACTTCTGGTTATAAGAAATATTGATATCTCAAAATTGTCAAAAGAATTCCCCCCCCACAAAGTAAACAGATGATTGAAAATTCAAGAAACTAGTGCAAGCTTGTTCACCCCTCCCCCCACCCTACTCTTTTTGGGGAGGAGGGTAGCAGACCAGGTAAGCTGTCTGCTCCACCCTCAATTCTATGATAATGGAAAAAACCATCCCCGACTCCCTGGGATAAGGT